TTTTTTTTGTAGTCAGCCACGGTATTCGGAGCTATGCTCCGACTAATCCGTTGGTCGACCCGGGTCGCACACCTGGCAGTGGTGGGTGAGTCTCCCAACATGGGTTTTCTGCATCCACAAGGACTTGAACTCGAGATCTTGCTTAAGCGACATCAAGCTGCTTACCACTTGAGCCAATCCCTGTTGGTTTTGGAGTGAAATTTTTGTCTGGACTTCTCTCGGATCATGATGACACTTTTTGTATTATTTGCTGCTTTGTATCTTTCTTTTTGTTCCTTATTTGTTATCATTTGACTTGATGTATATCGTACATTTGTATTGTAAAAAAAAAAAAAAAATCCATAAAATCCATAGAATAATATAAATATACATATCAATGAACTATAAAAATATTATATACCATGAAGAAATTAAGATAACATAGTTAAATAACGCAGGTAGGTGAATAATGTTTTGTTCTTATGATGTGATTACGAAAAGAGTTCCCAACAAGTTAGCTTCTAATAGTGTTTGTTGCAACTAACTCTATTCTGCTTTAATTTCTCCACCATCTAACATGCCAAAGACATGAGAGATTTACTGAACGGTCAACTTTCTTACATACAATCACATTATTTTATATTCAGTATAAAAAACTGAGAGTCGATAAACTGGTGATCACACAACAATGTTTGCAGTCTTTCTAGCCAAACTAAAGTGAAAAATAAAATAAAAATAAAAAATGGCTGCTGTCATCATTTATCTCCTATCAGCCATTGGTATTTTCCTCTGCCCCGCCTTCGCCTTCGACCCGAGGCCCCAACAGGACATATGCGTGGCGGACCTGAGCAAGGGAGCGAATCCGAACGGCCTTCTCCCTCTCCCGTGCATGGACCCCACCAACGTCACGGCCGACCACTTCTACTCGGACGACCTCCGCACGCCCGGCAACACCAACAACCCCTTTCGAGCCGCCTTCACCGCTCTCGACTCCGCCCAAGTCCCCGGCCGCAACACCCTCGGCATGACCGTGTCCCGCCTCGACGTGGGGCCCGCGGGATTCTACGCGTTCCACGCCCACCCGAGGGCCGCCGAGCTCTTTGTAGTCATGAGGGGGCAGCTCGAGGTCGGGTTCGTGACGTCGACCCAACACAGGCTTTATAAGAAGATCCTTTCCCCTGGAGACGTGTTTTACGTCCCGCTCGGCCTACTTCACTACCAGAGGAATCCGGGGAACAGCAGCAGCACGGTTGCGTACAGCGTGCTCAACAGCCAGAGTCCCGGGCTCAACTCCATTACGCATGCTGCCTTTGGGGCGAGCCCGAGCATCGACAGCGGTTATCTTGCGGACGCGTTTCAGTTGGATTTGAGAACTATCCAGAGTCTCCAGGGGAAGCAGTGGGTATAGATATGCATCATGCATGATGAGTTGGAAATAACTAACGGGGAGGTTCTTGTTGACTTTTGGTTTTTATTTCCTCACTTTTAAATATGTGTACTAGTACGACACCGACACCCGTGTATTACACGGATGCTTGTTAAAAAACTATTCTTAAATTTTAAAATTAATGAGAAAACTATATTAAATTTAGTTGACTTTTTTACCAAAAAAAAAGTAAAAAAAAATATTACTATATATTTTAGAATGATATGTGTTACTTATGACTTACATGTGTAATATTATATTAGTTTTTATAAATTATATCATACAAATACTTGAAATATAAATATATTAGTTGATATTTTATTTTTTTAATTAATATTAAAAATAATTTTATTATTGTTATAAAGATAAATATAAATTATTTTTTTATACATACAATATGGATGTTAAATCGAAGCTCATCAAAAGAAGATTAATTTGATATATTACATATGTAAAACTGATAAAAAATACAAAAGTTATTAACTTTTAAAAGAATTATACAATTTTATAGTTATAATAAGGAATGATATTAAAATGCAATTAATACATAGCATGACCATAAATAATCAACATATTTATGGTAATCCGAACCTAATTATTTTTTGTTTGGAATTAAATTAAAATTTACTCAAGCCTAATAACGAAGCATGTAATTTTGACACATAGGATTCTGAAGAACCAGAAGCAGCCACATAGGCTCAGCGCGTTCTGAATTAATATATAGGGGGATTTTTTTTTTTTTTTTTTGCCAAAACGATAGAGATATTATAAATCAAAACGCACAACTGTGCAAAAAGCAGCCCAAGGCTGAATATTACAACCCGGAACTAAGAACTCAGAGAACGGAACAAAACGTCCGCCTAGAACCTCGCTAGCCACGCTAGAATAAAAACAAACACACAACTAACAGACACAAACACACCAACTAAGATCGCTCCCCACAGGAGAATAGAAACGCCCCCCACAGGGGAATCAGAACCGGGGCCAACGGCCCAAACCTAAAAAACAAGACCAAAAAACACAGACAGACTCAGGCAAGAGCCCAGACCAAAAACACAAAACTACCACAGACTCAAAACAAACTACACCAAAGGAAAAACAACGAAGGGCCCTTCCCCGGCAAACGAAAGAGCTCGACCTGCAGTGAAACGATCGACACAAGAGAGGCCCCAAGTTCGAGCGGCGACTACCGAAACTGCGAAAGGCCTATACAGTAGAGCCAACCGAACTCCAAACAAATCCCAGAGTCGACCCGTCCCCAACCAAGAGAGAAACAGCCAGCGCCCACACCAGACCCACCCGAACTCGTCTAACACCACTAGCCGAGCTCGAGAGGACCGAACCCCGCCGTCTAACACCACTAGACTAACAGAGGGTGGAGAGAATGGCCGGCCCCTCAACTCCAAACACTGCCACCAACAGCCGCAGCACCGGAGTCCCAATCCCCCTTCAGAAAACGCATCGCCCCGGACCACCACGAGGCACCCGCGACCAGAGGCTGAACCCCGCCAGAGCAGCGAGGCATCGCCTGAAAAGTCCAACCCAACGGCCACAGACAAAAGGCGATGGGAAGCATACCTACCCAATACAGCACCAGCAGAAATGAGAAGCTCGATTCGCCGGCGAATGCCCATCAGGAGAAACACCACCACCAACCGGAGCCCCGACTGCAACCACCTGGGCGGACGCCGACCGCCAGAGCAACCATGGCCAGAGCAAACACGCGACATCAGGAGAGGATCAGGTAGAGGAGAACGACTGTGGGCCTAGACATCTCCGGCACCGAGGAAGGCGGAGCAAAAACGATTGAAGGAGGAGGAGCGCCGATTTGGGGAAAAATCGCCTAAGGGTTTCGGAAAAATCGCCTAATATGATTGATTTTTAGGGGGATTTTAGGGTTGGGGCTTGAATATTACAATAAAAAAAATAAACAAAAGCAAACGATATCACAAAATTGAGAACAATATGCGGGCTATAACAAAATGAAAAAAAAAAATCAAAATATAAATTATAATAAATTGAAATCGGTATCCAAATCAATCATTTAGTTTATGACTCGCATTTTCAAATCCATAATGCCAGAGATTTACTAATCATATATCTATATCGAACGCTGAATAAATTACGACCATCCGCCATTCCCGTATATGCGATATTTTGAATATTATTCTCATATTATGCATCGCATTGACTGAAACTTTTTTTTTTTCACGAAGAGTTAGATGCGCAAGATATATGTGGACCTTTTTTTTTTATCAAGAATCTTATGACAGTTCATTGTTTCAGCTCGCATTTATTCTTCTTCTTCTTGGCTAGATTTAGTACAATTAATTATATTTTTTTTATTTTTGTTCAAACTTTTTAAAGGCCCCAGATCTACTGTTATATGGGATACCGTAATGAGATCCTCGTAGATCCCAAATTCCCAACATAAGACACCAACGTGGACATACGATGAGGGCTTGAAGAGATGTAAGAAAAATGTCAACATGGAGAAAACAGAGGCCGAAGTCAGAAATTGGAGAAGTTATCTCGACTTGGGTGAGCTCGCCAAAGAAGAAAATATCCGAAGGGAAGTGCGAGGATCGTTGGAAAGGTCGACCTGTTCAGGATGGACACAGGGACGATAAATACACACCTCCGAGGTCGCATCACACAGAAGTGCTCGAAACCATAGAAAGGAAACTCGAAGAAAATGTGGTGACGTGGCCAAAGTCGAGGAGGGAAGGCCCTACTCAGCCAAAGCCCGACCTATATTGTAGATTTTACAGAGACTACGACACCACCCGCAATTGTGTGCTTGTTCAAAAAAACCATTATTTTTCTCATGCGGTTATTCCCTACTAGTACAGATCCCGTGCGATGCACGGGACGACAATGATCAATCATATCAATTATAGAAGAATATTTATTCGCATAAAAAATATAATTAATAATAATTTTTTTTTTATGA